AATATCTATTTACTAAATTTCACCATTTTTCTTGCGCATGACTGATTTTAACAAATTTCCACTTTTTATAATAATTATTGTATTTTTCAAGAATGGATTAAAATAAAGAGAAAGGGTTAGATCAAGATAAGACGGATTTAAATGTAATATAAATTTTAAAAAGTATGTAGAGCTGTTTAATGTTTGAGATTTGATATGAGAGGTGAAGTTTGATATGAGAGGTTTTGATGTAGGAAAAACCGGTTAAACTGGTTTAAAATTACTTCTTAAACTCTTGAACTTTTGGGAAACATTATAAACTTATGGTTATGTAATCTTGTGAAAATCGTGTTTTAAACGGATAAATCGATTCAAAACCACTTGTTGAACCCTTAAACCTTTGGAAGCCGTTTGTATATGTAATCTTGTGAAAAGTAAGGTGATTTCTTTAAAAAGTTCAATTTATTCTTAAACAGGTTTGATCAAAGTACCCTTAAACCGTTTGGTTTAAACCTTTTGGTTAAAGCGAACTTTTGTTTGACTTAAGTCTTGTTACAATATGAGGAGGGTTTAACTACTATTTTTTGAAAATTTTATAAATTTGGCATTTTTTCCTTTCTAAATATAATTTTGCAATGTAATTTTTGCATGACAGATTTTTGACCTATTTAACAATAATTTTTGTAACAATTATTGCATGAATGAATTTTTATAATTATTATATATTTTCACTTTTCACCGCCTACTTTTTTAATAATTTTTATATTTTTCAAAATAAAGGGTAAAAATAAAAGAAGATATTTAGAAAATAGAGAAGAGGGTTGGAAAGATGTTTCTCTAAGAATTTTTAAGAGTACATCCTTGAACCGGTTCAAAAGAAATTCTGAACATCTTGAACCTTTGGGAACCATTTTAAATTTTAGGTTATGTAATCTTTTAAAAAATATGCGAAATTCTTCTTTGAACCGTTTAAATCAGTTCAAACCCACTTCTTAAACCTTGAAGCTTTAGGAAAATTTTAAAAAAAATTGGTGAAGAATAGGGCGAATGATAGTTTTTCTTTAAAAAAGTTCAATTTTTGCCATTAAACCGGTTTGATCATATTACCCCTTAAACCCTTTGATCCTTTGGGTGTCCATTGAATCTTTGGACTCTGACGACGGATTGGGTGTGTCTAAATACCGTTTAAATATGTGGGAGGGGCTAAATGGTTGGACCCCGCTGCCCCTGACGACTTGGAGGGGTGGTTAACTACTCTCTATTACTCGATCCATCCATATTGCCTTTAAACCCTCTAATAACTCCTTTTATTCCCCGGATATTATTCCACATCCACCTTAATTTATGCAAATGCTCTTATGTATATCCCACATACTTCTTATTTAGATCGCAGACGAAATTATGAAAATTTTACAAATCCTAAAAAAAAGATTGTCGCCTAAAATTATTGAGACATACATACTTTGAGTCAATCCAAATTTTTCCGAGCCATATTTTTCGTCCTTATTTTTATTAATCGGGCCATACAAATCAGTTTCGTGTATCATTTTATCGTCTCGATCCATTTTGGCAACCCTCAGTTTAATTAGAGTTTTAAACCATTTTTACCAAATACTAAATTTTCTAAAAATATTTTTTTTTATTTTAAAACAAAATTTTCCAAAATTTTAAAGAGGAACGTAAAAGTACTAACAAAAAATTGCTGGTTTTTGGCCTTTTAGGTACGCTCCTCTTTCCTTTTTTTAAATGACAACCGCCACTACAGCTGTTCTTTCCTTTCTTCTAAATAGCGGGCAATTCAGTCAATATCTTTTATTTATTTTTTTCAGAGATCGAAGAGAGTAAAAAACTAAAAATAAATACAAAGGGATAAAGGAACACAAGTTGATTTTTTAATGGGTGGACAAGGAACGCTTGAAAGAGAAGAAAGGAGAAGGATGACAATGAATAGTAGTCGAGAATTTTTTTTAAATAAAAATGAGAAAGAACATCTAAATAAATAAATATATGTATTAAAAAATGACAAAACCAACTAAAAAGATTGGACTTGGACCTTTTAAAATTAAAAGTAAAAATTGAAGGAGAAGAAAAAGAATTAATAGAAGAAAGTCAACTTTTCTTCTCTTCTCTCACCCCATTTTTTCAATTATTTATCACATCATCCGTTTAATAAAAATTCTCCCCATGCCTTGACATCCTTCAATTTTATATAATTTTTATTTAAACTTGTAAAAAATTATTTTTATTTTTTGCGAGGGTTAGATAGGGTTTAAATTTTGCAAGAAAGAAAACCGCAGTGAAGCTGAGTCATTGTTTCGCTCGCTCAGTAACCTCATTGGACTGCTGGGATCTCGTCGGCATCTGAACGTGGTGAACAAAATGCTTGTTTTAGCAGGTTGTAGGTTCATCCCCAATAATTAAACTTTTACACCTAACTCTTTAGTGAATTTCAGATTAACACGTAAAATAAGGTTTGAAAAAATTTAATTTACAGCTACTAATTCCCCTCAAAATTGAGTTTTCTCTCATCTATACACAAATTTTTTCTTATATACATTTGATTAAATAAAATCACTAAAAAAGAACTCAACTCGTCTTTATAATTTTGAAAAATTAAAACAAAAATTCTGCTATAAACTTGAACTCCCAAATTATTTAATGCTTTTTAGTTTGTTTCCTTTAGCCCCTAAAGCTTATACACTCTGTAACAAAATGATAGCGCCACCTAGTTTTTTATCAATATCTCACCAAATATGAAACGGATATGTTTCAAATTTTGGCTGAATATAGGTAAGGATATTATGTATCAATATTAGGGTTTCACCGGAACCGAAATTTTGACCGGAACCGGAACCGGAACCGGATCCAATTTGAGTTCCGGTTCCCGGAACCGGAACCGGAACTTTTTAAAGTTCCGGCCCGGAACCGGAACCGGAACTTTCAAAAAAAATTTTGCTAGCAAATTTTAAAAATTTTTATGTTAATTAGGGTTGTCGGTTTAGCCAAATTCTTCGCTTGACTAAACCCGAGACGATTAACCGGATCGAAACTTTCGGTTAACCGAAACGAACCGAAAATTTGTCGGCGGTTAAGTGATATATGTGTATTATGGAGTGGAGTATAACGAATTTGTAGGATATAAGTGTTTGATATCGGGCGATAAAAAGTTATGTGGAAATAAGGGTGATATAAGGAGCCATAGATATCAAATCTCTGATATCTACCGAAGATATCAAATCCCTAATATCTACATAAAAAATCTTAAATTCTTATGATTTTTTGGAGTCCATCTAGTAGTTTTAAATTTAAAGCGTTGTATGTGATAATTTTTGAAAATAATTTGTATTTTGGAAGGCCGAGAAGCCAACTTTATTCTTTTTTCAACGCCGCAGGCGAAAATTTTGAAAATTTCATAAAGCCATAAGCGAAAAAGTTAACCAGTTTTTAGTCAAACAAGAAATCTTAAGACTCCGATATACCAGTGGCAGGCGAAAATTCTGAGATTTTAGTTGAACCATGTGACATATTTGTTTTATCTTTCAGCGCCGCAGGCGAAAATTTTGAGAATTTGTGAGGACTAGAAGCCAGATTTGACCTTTTTCTGGCGCCGCAGGCGAAAATTTTGAGAATATTGCAAGTCAAACTGGGGAGAATATTGCAAGTCAAACCCATATTTTTATAAAAAAAACTAATCCTTAGGGGTGTAAAAAAGTTCCGGTTTGCCCGGAACCAATTTGAAAACCGGAGCCGGAACCGGAACCGGAACCAATTTAAGTTCCGGTTCCCGGAACCGGAACCGGAACCAAAAAAACACCGGAACTTTCCGGAACCGGAACCGGAACCGGAACTTCCGGTGAAACCCTAATCAATATTGAAAAGAAAAAGTTTGTTGCAATTTTTTGAAAAATTTTATAACAATAAATTTGATTTTAGAGTGTAACAAAAAGATAGCGCCACTTATATTTTCGACCTTAGGGGTGATCCGAAAAATCTGCAAAAATCCCTGTAAACATATCCATTGATATGTATAGAAAATAAATAATAATTTTTTAGTTCCTTAAACTATTTAAAAATACCCAAATTATATTTGAATAAACAAATTTATACTAATTTTGCACTTTAATAATATGATGCAATTGTTTTGCCCTTTTACTGCACTTTTACTTTTTTTTAAATTTATATTATATTAATTTCCCACAAAGTGCGCAATTTTTCTTTATAAAGCCGTCAATGTCCTCTTTGTCGGTTTCCTCTTTTTTCTTTAAAAATGTGACGTGAATTTCACCCCCCCCCCCCCCCTCCATTTATTTGATGAGCAATATATGGGAGGGGGTAAACAAAGAAAAAGAAATAAAGCGAGCGAATATTGACGCTAGAAAAAAAAAGTAGAGAGGGGGAGGGAAGGGAGGGGGAGGGAAGTGTTCGCTCGACTGGCAGGAAGCGAGAGTGGGAAAAGATTAGAGAAAATTTTTAAAAGAAATTTGGGAGTAAAAGAAAAATAATTTGGTAAATGGGGGCAAAATTGTTTTTGGACTAAAATTCCTACTAGTCCAAAAATGATCAAAATGCCCAATTTTTGAGTATAAAATTCTAAATTGAAATTCTGCCCACATCAACTATTTTTAGCGCCGAAACTTTTTTAGCACCGAAAAAAAGCGCCAAAAAATTTTAACCCTATATTCGACTAAAAAGATTATTTCCTTAACTTTTAGTCTTTCTCGCCTTATGGAACATTTATCGCCTAACATTTTATCATTAATCCCTTCCTCGCTTGAATGACAAACTTTGGGAAACAATATTGAGGGAAGAGAGATATAGAAAAAAAGAGAGAGTGTAGATTTCCTCACAAATTCATCACTACCCCCAATGTGTCAACCTACCAACCAGCCGCCCCTTTCGGCGTGTCATTTAGGACAGATGGAGTTTTTGGGTTTAACAGGGGCAGAGATAAATAGACACTACCTATTTTCTATTTATTTTTTTTTCTATTTCCCGCACTTTCCCCTTATAAAGAAAGAAAAGGCAAGAATGCAGTCAATATAGTGTTGAGGAGGGGGCACGTATCGGCTGGTCCATAGAGAGAGGCGAACGCTTCCCCCTCTCTCCCTTCTCTTTTTTCTTGTCGCCACTGTCGCCCCTATGCTTGTGGCTAGCGTTCGTATTGTTATATTTTGTTGTTTTATTTATTTTCTCTCTTAAATTTAAAAAATATAGAGAGAGATAAAAAATAAATATACACACAAACAAAACGGTGTGGCAGAAGTACATCCATCTTTCCCCTCACTCCCTCCATATCCCCCCTCCTACCAGCTTCTAAATGAATTTACATGATAATAATTGTGTTAATTCTTCTCCCAAGTTTATTTTAATTTTTATTTTTGGTATTTTTATCCCTTTAATATTCCCCCTTTTGCCCTTTTTTTACTCTTTTCTATTTATTCTCGAATCAATTCTCTCCAAAAAAATTTTTTCTGCCACATGCCTGCCACGCCCCAAAAAACCTCCTCAATACCCCTCCAACCCTTTACCGCTTATATCAAATTTGCTTGCTAAAACTCTTTCTAAAATACAAAATCAGCACTAAAAAATGCTAAAAATTAAAGAACACCCACAAAAACAAATAAATATGTATACATTCACACAACAAACCTTGTATATTTAAATTCTTCTAAACATAAACATCTGATTTAACAATAAAATTAAAAGAGAGAGAGAGAAGATTATTCATGTTTATATTCGAATAAAAAAATTTTTTTCTTAATTTTTTCCATTATTTTATTTAATTCTTCTATTCATTGAATCAAACCAAAGGTAGCTAAAAAATTTTTAATTTCAGATTAAAGAGTCAACACCCTCCCGTTATTAGCGACATCACTAACATTCTTTTTTTCACAAGATGGTCTTTAATATAGTGCAGATTAAACAAGATCCCGTCCCAGAATTCCGTGTTTTAAGCGATAAACGGGAATAACTGGATTCACTATATTAATACCGCGGGATCCTTTCCCATTCCACGTTTTTGAGAAAATCCCTTTAAAGGGATACACCCAAAACAACGCACGGCCATAACAACGCAAAGCCATAACTTGCTTCAAGATTTCCGAATGTTACCAAATTTAGTATTAAATGATTCCTCTCAACGGGTTAAAGAGAGTGGTACCAAATTTGATAAGGGCCAGAAATTTTCCTGCTAGTTATGGCTTTACGTTGTATGGCAGCGCGTTGTTTTGTTTTTTTCGCGTTGTTTCGTTGCTGTACCCCTTTAAATGATCTAGTATTGCGATGTTGCTGCACTCAAGATTTTATAATTGCCTAACTCGATTTGAACACACCGTTAATTTTTGATCTTCCCTCACAGTTTTTTTTCGAGTTTCTCTAATTGTTCAAAAAAAATATTTTGGAAAATATTAAATATTTTTCTTTTATTTACTTAAATTTTTTTCTCAAATTTTCAAATTTCTTTTTTAAAATATTTAATAGAATCACCAAAATTTTAATTTTTTGCATGTGAATCATTAAATAACAACAAACAAACAAATATTTTAAAACATTATTTAATATTTATTTATTATTTCTCAGCGGTTGGCAGTGTTTTTAGCTGGTTGAGATTTAATTCAGGCATATTAAAATAATTATAAAAAATATGCCAAAAGTTACAACAGTTATCGGCACTGCCTCCCGCTGGAATTAATTTTTAAAAACAACAAAATATAAAGGAAAATAATTTTTTTTAAATAATCAGCAGATAGAGAAAAAAATTTTTTATTGACAGCTTCTCTTCTCCATTTATTTAATTAAATTTAATTTTTAATCAATAAAATTTTTTTAAATTTTTATTAATAAGAGTAAGTTTTTTAATTAATAAAATAAAAATTAAAAAAAATCTAGAAATCGTCTTTTTCTAGCTCTTTGAATAATGCCTCACCTGATAAGATAAGTAGTGCATCACCAAGTATTGTGTGATGTAAAACACGGTTTTCAGGGGTCGGATTGTTACCCTAGTTTAAACTTTATAAGAACATTTTAATTAGAGGTCGGCAAAATCGCATTCCCGGGATCCCGGAACGGGATTTTTTTTCAAAATTTTGTACGGGACGGGATCCCGCGGGATTAATCCCGTAAATCCCGTTATCCCGGTAATCCCGTTCTCAAATTTACCGGGATCCCGCCGGGATTCCGGGATTTTCTCAAAAAAAATTTTTAATTAAAGATATGTTGAATATTGACGGATTTGGAGACAATATCGGTGGATTTCGACGGATTAAGGGAGGAATGAATAGATATCAGAGGATTAGGAAGGATATCAGTGGATTAAGAGGGATTAAGAGAATTTGATGCTTATAGATGGATTTAGGGGATATCGGTATATTTGGAGTGATAAAGGTTGATATGAAGAACGGTGGGTAAAGGCTATAGCAGATTTGGAGACTCAACTTGATTTGAATGGATATATGGGGATTATTCCTCTAATCCCTTAATATACTCTTAATCCCCAGATCCCCGATATACCTCTTAATCCATAAATCCCTGATACCACCTATTATCCTCCAAATCCCTCATAATCCTGTGTTAATCCCAAATCGATGATATCTCTTTCCAATACCCCAACATCATATATCTCTTAATCCTCCGGAATTGCACTTCACAAACCAACGTACATCTCTATATCTCTGTTAATCCCAAAATCCATTCTTATTACTCTTAATCTATCCACCACAGGCAAAACTTTTCTAATTTTGGAAGGAGAATCCAAAAAAAAAATGGCTCTATTACACAATATACGTCCAATCAACTATTATGCGTCCAATCAACTTTTATACGTCCAATCAAAGTTTATACGTCCAATGAAAATTTATGCGTCCAATCAAATTTTTATACGTCCAATCAAAGTTTATGCGTCCAAATAAATTTTATACTTCCAGTGAAAAAATAAATTCAGAAAAAATCAAAATAATTTTTATTTATTTTTTACGCCTTGCTCAAAAGGAGTTAATAGAAAAACCCTTCCCGTTACTGGAACAACCGTCCCCGTCACCGGATCAAATCTCAAATCCGGTTTAAAAAGGATTCGGATCCGGATTTGGCAATGGAGCCGGACCGGTTCCAGATGGATTTTTCTGGATTAATCCGGTCAGGAAAAATCCGGAGATCGTGAAAAAGACCCGGATTTGGTATCCGGAATCTGGAAGAATTTGGCCGGATCCGGCCCGGACACTAATAAAAATGTGTTTGGACATATAAAATTTGATTGGACGCATAAACTTTTCATTGGACGCATAAATTTTTATTGGACGCATAATCTTTTCATTGGACGTATAAACTTTAATTGGACGTATAAAAGTTGATTGGACGCATAATAGTTGATTGGACGTATATTGTGTAATAGAGCCAAAAAAATTTCCGGGATCCCGGAACAAAATTCCCGGGATCCCGGAACGGGATTGAGTTTAAAAATTTTGAACGGGACGGGATCCCGCGGGATTAATCCCGTAACTCCCGGAATCCCGGTAATCCCGTTTTTCTCTAAAAACCCGGGATTCCGGGACGGGATCCCGTAAAATCCCGTACGGGGTCCCGTCCCGTGCCAAGCTCTAATTTTAATTCCAAAGTTTCAAAGCAGCCTCGGTGTAGGAAAAACATAAGGGTCGGTTTGAAGCCATCTACCGTAAGCATTAAAAATAAATAGTTAAATGTAAAAATTTTAAGAATTGATCTTAATTCAAATCTTTAAAGGTACAGGCAACTATTGTGGTCAGTTGTGAAGTTGTGGTGTGGTTGTGCTATTGTGGTTGAAGTTGTGAAAATTTCAAATTGAGGAGGAGAAGGGAATCTAGGCAAGAAGTGTAGCAGGTTTTTATAAAGTTAAGAATCTGGCTGACATTTTGACTGTTTAATTTGACTTCATAGAAAGGTCTTCAGCCTTAAGTCTTGTCAAATACCTCAAATGGAACGGTCCTTGCCGGCCGTTCCTCTGTTATCTTTAAAACTTTTAAAAGTTATATCCACGATTCATGCCCTTGACTGCTTCTTCCTCTCCTCTCTTTCTTCCCACTCTCTTTATTTTAATTGATTTTCTAATTTCGAAAATCAATTTAATCAAGTCTTGCCATGGTAAAGGAGTTAGACGCATGCGCATAGTTCACTCTCATTCAATTATTCTCTGCCCTTTCCTCGCCATTTTTAAAAATTTAAAATTAAAAAATAATGCTTCATCAAGTTTTTTATTGCTAAATATTTTCTGGAATAAATAAAAACTTAAGTCTCAAACTATCAGTTATTAATTTGATACCTTTTTAATAAATAAAACACCGCTCTATAAAATTTTATTATTAAAAATAAATTTCAGAAAATGTGGCTATTTTTATTATTTTTTGTTTTAAACACCTTGGATAAAAATGTTGAATCATTGTCTATATTTGTAAAGATATCATGGAGGGAAGTTGAAGGAAACAAATTTGAATACCCGCATCACTTGACAGATGAAACAAAGGAACGTTTCGACTTGAAATTAACAGGGAATTTACTGATAGGTGGACAACTGTTTGTTGGAAAAACTGACGGATATGATAATTTTCATTTTACCCAACATTATATTATTGAAGAACAGCTAGGAGGCAGTAAATATTTTCTGGAAATTTCCATTAAAGGACACAATGTTCGTTTACACTTTTTGAGAGTTTAAGGAAAATGTTTTTAAAACCCCGCTATTTATATATTTAAATATTTAACCTTATTGTTTCGGATATAGGGATGTAACCTTAGAAAGGGCACCCAATCTTCGAGGACGGGTAAGCAGGGAGATTTGTCATTAAAACACTCTTATTAAAATTTCTAGATTATTAAACCGATACTAGTGGAAAACAATTCAATAGTTTATGTTATTCTACATAAATACACAGCAAAATACAAAATATTAACAAAAAGTCAAGTAGAGGATTTTGATAAAATAATAAATTCATTTAAAAATCCTTTCCGAATTGTCCAATTTTTTTGGGAAACAAAATCGTTAAATAAATGGAAAGTTATTGTTAAATGTGCAGATGAAAAAAATGACGAGAATAAATTTGAATTGGAATATTTAAATAAAAATAAAAAACAAACTAAAGATTCTAGAAGAATGTTTAGATCTGGATGTAAGAGAATAAAAACATGTCCTGAAAACAAATATAAATTATACAAGGAAAGTTTTGTAAATTAAAAATAAAATTTTTAATAAAAAATGTGACAAATAGTAAAAGCTGTGTCACGGTGCTCAATCGGTAGTTCACATGTATGTTGTGAGTAGAGACCGGACTTGAGTGATAGTTCGATAATATCGGTACCGATAATCGATAATATCCATCGATAATATCCATCGATAATATTCCATCGATATTTTCCATCGATCCGGTCTCTAGTTGTGAGTAAAGCTCAGGGCACGGCCAAGTTAGGGCACGACCAGGGTTGTCGTTTCCAAACCACTGAAATAGGGCGCAGCCACAAAAAATAGGGAAAAAATAGGGCGAAATCGGTCAAAAATATGGCAAAAAATAGGTAATTATTTAAAAAAAAATATTCTGCAAAAAAATATTCCTTACTCTGCATA